TAGTGCACAAGGAGGGCAAAGTCTCCACCCTCTTTAACACTTAGAATTTGCAGGAGATTCAGAGATTAAATAAATGATTACACAGATTAATATATAATTACCGTTTTGGTCAGTGCTGTAAAGGGGGAGATGAGGGGTTTATGGAGTGTCTGAACCTAGTCCAGGAAGGTTTCCCAGAGGTATATCTTAGAGGTGTATCTCCGTTAGATCAGGCCTAAGGATAAGTAGGACGTAGCCAGGCAGGGGTGGGGAAGAGAGGAGCTCGTGCGTCAGCTTAGAGGCAGGCTCCAAACAAACCATCTGTAGGCACCTTGTAGACCCGAATGCAGTAGCACCTCATGGAATGATCTCATTTTAGCTGTGTGATGGGAAAAGATCTTGAAACTCTTCTTTTCACTCTTTATAAAAAATCTACATCTCTCAAAACTAAATGTGATTTGTATGACAGAATCATGCTGTTTGATAGAAATTCAAAATTTACAAGCATAAAGTTACTTATGTTTGCCTCCTCAGAACCAGACGCTTTTAGATTATTCTTATATATGAAGGACCTGTCAGTTTTCTTATAGATGATATTGGATTTGCACAACTAGAAATGTAAACTAGTTATACATGGTTCTGGAATAATAACTTGAGATACTGCCACTGTATGAATAGTCCTATCCCAGATTAATCTTCTAATCTGTTCATTTAATTTCAAAAATTAATTATGTCAGGTATTATTTGCATGTTTTTGGTTTATACTTTTATATTCTTTGTAGCCTATATGCTCTCTAGTAGAATGCTGGGACCGCAGGGGGATTCCATACAGATGTGTGAATTAGATTTGGGGCAGCATAAAGGTGTTTGTTCTGATCCATCCTTTATTATAAAGAGACAATAACAAAGTTCACTTGCTATTTCTTGCCATTTGCTGTATTTGTGAATCTCTCCTTGTGTGGTTTCTTGTGTTATAGTGGGATGTTTGAAGATAATACCTTTGTGTATATGATAGAGCCACTGGAGCTGATTCACGATGAGGTGAGTCCGACCGTGACATCGCTTTCCTTATGGTGTATTACTCTTCCAGCATTTTTGCCTCTGAGCAGTCAAGAGAAGATAAATAGAGGTTTCAAAGTGCATTTATACATGCTACCTTACTTCAAACCTAGAATGGTAGCATGAGTTTGGATGCTCACGTTGCACATTGCAGGCCCACACACCAGTGGGGATGATAAGAGCCATCAAACCCAGGTGTTCTGAAGCGAAGACCAATTCTTTCCAGTCTGTGGAGAGAATAGAGAGGACGTTTTGTTTTCTACTGGCCAGCCTCTTTTCCTTTAAACTAGCTTTCATCCTCACTGTCTTCTTGAGATAATTGTGCGACTGTGAGCATGTACTTAACCTTTATGAACCTAAGAATCTTCAGTGGGGAAATTTGTGGGCTGAACTGTGATTACATTATATAATGTTTAGTTTCCTTTAGAGATAAGGAAGAAAATAACGTTTAGAATCATGCACAGGTCAGCAACTAGACAAGAAATATGCTCCAGTAGTGTTGCTCACTTAAAATACAACCACATTAAAAATTCGATATATAGTTGTATTCATCAAATAGTATATTGAAGGCTTACTACATGTGGGTACTGTTTTAGGTGCTAGGGATACATTAATGACAAAAGTGACATAGAGCCTGAGCCTGCTGGAATGTATTGTTTACAGGGACAGAGAGGAATTCACAGGATGATTAACATATATGGTATGTTAGCCGGCCCGGTGGCGCACTGCGCTGGTGCGCCGCTTGGGAAGTGCGGTGGCGCTCCCGCCGAGGGTTCG